CTGTATGTCCTCTTTGAGGACGACAAGGAGTCCAATTTGCAATGGTTCAGCCATAGTGCCCTCATGGATCTCCCTCTGCAGCAGATAAAAGCTAACTCTTTCTGGGCTGCAGAGGATATACACCTGTCTCTTATACACATCTAGATGTGTATTCTCCTCCCCCATCTCTCTTCCTCCATCTCTTCCTCCATTATCTCTTTCTCTTCTCTCTCTCTCTCTCTCTCTCTCTCTCTCTCTCTCTCTCTCTCTCTCTCTCTCTCTCTCTCTCTCTCTCTCTCTCTCTCTCTTGTGGAGTCTGTGCCCTCTCATACACCCTCAGGCGTCCATATCTCCATCTCTCATCCCCACCACCACGGGGAAACATCACTGCTTCGTCAATACATAGATACATGGGAACCTTGAACCTTGAAGTTCGACTGGCATGGTATCTCCTCCATATCTCCACCTCTCCTCCTCCACCTCTCATCATCCTTGTCCATATTTCCTCCCCTCCTCCATCTCTTTGTGTCCTCGACTCGTCCATCTTTCCTCCCCTCCTCCATCTCTCTTCCCCTATCTATCTTCCTCCATCTCTCCTCCCCCATCTCTCTTCCTCAATCTCTCTTCCTCCATCTCTCCTCCCCCATCTTTCTTCCTCCATCTCTCTTCCTCCATCTCAGAGTCTCCTCCTCCATGTCTCTTCCTCCAATTTTTTTCCTCCATGTTCTCGCTTCTTCTTTCTTATCGCCTTTCTCCATCCCTCCCTCCTCCGTCCCTTGTGAAGTTGTCAACTTGTCATTGTTGTCAATCATCATGTCCTTCGTGCATGTACGCACTTCACATACCCCATGTTGTTTGTTTGTTTTTTTTTGGGGGGGGGAGGATTTTCTCACGCTTTGTTGCTGTTAGTTGTTTCGACTTGTTCATTATTGCTTTGACGTATATGGGAATTTGTTTTTTTTTTGGGGGGGGAGTGGGTAGATAGAGGGTGCATGGCAGTATGAGAGGGCAAAGTGTGAGAGGCCTGGGCTGAAATCGGTGTGTCTGCCACTTTGTCATGCTTGTTGTTGATGTCGTGCAGGGGATGTCGAAGTAAGCGGTGATCAAGCACCTCCAGACGAGATCAAGAAACGTTTCACGATTGAGGGGGCACGGGGAAAGAATGTGAAGAAGGGATCAAAGTACTAGGGGTGCAACTACTACGAGGTGCGGTTGTCCAGGACTGCCACGAGGCTCCGGGATCACTTCTTGGAAAGGTGCACTTTTGAGAATGTCACGCCCCATTGTCAGTGGAGGAGAGGGCGAGGAGGGAAGCGGGCATTCAGAGGGGAAATGCCTTGCTCGCATGTTGCTGCAGAGCGAGGTTGGAGGTGCTGGCCCCAGCAATATGCCGATCGCCTCAAGTCAGATTCTGGAGTTTCGAGCTCACATGTCGCTGGTGCGGGCGTCACTGGCGAGACGGTCACACCTCAATCTACTGTCGGCACCGTTCTTGGATCGAAGCCAAGTTCAGGGAGGTCGCTGAGGCAGACTGTGATCGAGGAGGCCGACAATGTCGTCATGGTAAATTAGCAGACAAGCTGATACCTCAACCGGTCTTTTATCTGCACCAACCAGCCGTTCAACTTGGTGGACGACGTCTATGGCCCATCCAACATGGATGCCTTGCAGAAGGGACGAGCAGAGGACAAAGCGCCTGGACGCAGAGTATGCACGAGTAGGGGTGGAGGTCTGTACGATGATGGTCAAATGAAAGAAGACGTATGCTGCAAATGGGTGGGTGGTCAGACCGCCGCAAGAAACCGCATTCGAATGTGCTGGTGTCCTCGCCCGTCGGTACCATATTTTGGAAGTCTGTCTGGCATTGAGGGCAAGGAAAAGGATTCTGCAACTTATTTTCGAGTGCTGGACGAGGTGATCAAGGACATCGGAGTGGATGCGGTCGTTGGTGTTGTCATGGACAACTCAAGGGTGTGAGTGAAGGCAGGGAAGATGGTGGAGTTTGTTTATCCGACCATCTTCAACGTTGGTTGTACGGCACATGCGTTGGACCTCGCGCAGGAGGGCATGTACAAGGACATGCCTTGGATGGCGCAGGTGGACAAAGGTGGTCGATGTTGGCAACAAAGTCGCTGGTTTCTTCTCAAATGTGGACAAGGCAAGGGCTTTGTTCCAGCATTACTCCCCTAACACAGCTGAAGCGGCCGACAACCAGATGTGCAACTAACTTCGAGATGTTGCAGTCGCGGAAGAATTTGAAGACAACTTTTGATCGCTGCGTGTGCGACAAGGGATGGGTGGACAAGATGGTGCGGAACAACCAGTTAGTGGCATTCCATGATGTAACGGGCATCGTCCATGACAAGGGCGGCTTCTGGAGGAATGTACAGAAGGCGCTTGATGTGATGCAGCCGGTGGTGGAGCTGCTTTGTACGGTGGATGGGCAAGGAGCGACCATCTTGAAGGTTTACTTCATGATGGACCGGGTTGTGCAGGATTTGCGTGCCCTAGAATGCTTGTCGGTGGAGAAACACGAGGCGGTGGAGCGCATCCTCATGGGCCACGGGGCATTAATGACAAGCGATCTACATTGTGCTGCAGCCTTTTTGGATCCTGAGCATTAGATGTACAACGCACATAGTGATCCGAAGGTTTGTGCGGGGTTCAACATATGGTTGTACTTATGGATGCCATGGTGACGGCTCCACGAAGTAAGCTTCCGGGTTGCCAGTGGGCAATGGGTCAACGCTTTGGGAGGGTTTTCGATGGAGCAAGCGCGCGAACAAGCTACCCTATAGGCTACAGTCGCCAACTTTATGGCGGGAGGCGTTCAGCTCGAAGCACGACTTCCTCGCACCACAAGCAATCAAATTGCTTGGTCAGGCAAGCTCCTCCGCCGCCTGCCAGTGGAATTGGAGCTTGCATGAGCTAATCTATGGAAGGAGGCGGACGAAGTTGTTGCAAGAGAGGATGGAGAAGCTCGTGTACATCAACTGGAATGTTCGTCTCCTGAGGAGGAATTAGCGTGGCGAGGGGGATGATATCCACATCCCATGGGTGGATGACGTCTCGGTGGACAAGGAGATGGAGCACTGGTATCACACTGGTATATGCAGTGGTTGGAGCGGGTCCATGAGGATGTCGATGGTGAGGAGGAGGTTGTTGAGGTGGACTTCGATGATGAGGGAGACGAGATCCCGATGCGGCAGGCTTTCCTACGCAATGACGAAGTTGACGACAAGTTGGTCGAGGAGGAGGATACTCTACTCCTTGGTACAAGGCAACGCAACTGGCGCAAGAGCACGAAGTCTGGGAAGCACCGCGAGCAAGAGTTGTGCAGGAGATCCAGGTGTACACAGAGGAGGGCTACGTTCTTGCAATGGAAGTGAGACGGGCAGGCACGTGGGTGCAGGGCCGGGATGCGGCACCAACAAAGAGGAGGGAAAGGCAAGGGCAAAAAGTCGGTGGAGGATGATGGTGTGCAGCATGGGTCCATGGGAAGAGGAAGGTTGTTCAGCAAGAACAACCACGATCGAAGAGGGGTCGTCAATCTCTAGTAGAACAGGCGGCACATAGGGCGAAGAGGGTTGAAGACAACGTTGTTGCTGCAGCAGCTGAAGCAAAAGTTGTTGTTGACAAATCCACAGCGGCCAAAGCCAGAGTGGCAGCGAAAGCCGCCACAAAGAGCACAGGCGGAGGGAAGGCCAGCGAGTCTGTCATCGTAAGTGACGACGACAACATGGATGTTTTTGAGAAAGTCGAGAAGAGGAAGAGTTTGAGGCCTCGTCCACATCCAGGGACTTCAAGTTCTTCATCGGCTCCCTCATCATCTCAATCAGTGGGAGGGAAGGCACAGACGGAGAAGGAAGTGAGGGAGGGGCCCAGTTCGAGGACGACGAGGAGGAGGATCAAGTAGAGGCTGAGTAGAGGGAAGTCGTTCGGTATCCGATGCTCCGAGTGCAGCGTTCTCACAATGGTCGGCTTTCAGACATTAAGCTTTGAAGTTTCAAATTTCAAACTCTTATTTTTGTTCTCGCAATGTATGAATATTTGCGTGGCAAATGGATTGTTGATTGGAGTTGATTAACTGGTTTTCTGTTGTGTTCGACATTCATTGTTGTGGATGCTGCTTTGCGAATTCATTGCTGTGTTCTTTTTATGGCATTTTGCCACGTCGTCGGACGGATGCCCTGACTACAATCGCTGGTACGTGCATACTCCGACTGCAGGTGAGTGTTTGCAACTTCGCACTCATCCAACCCCTCTGATTTGTCGCTCATTCAAAAGAAAAATCAAACAAACAAAAGAAAAATCAAAGACGAATGACCGTACTTACCAAAGCAATCAGATTCTCAGAGTC